GCTGCCTTTGCCCCTTATTCCTTTGACCCTGACATAATACCAGCTTCTTCTTCGTTTTTTAAACAAACAACGTTACTGACAGTAAGCATTTAGAAGTTTTCTCTGTTTTACTGAAAATTGGGAAAGTGAAGATGGATGAGGGGTTTACAGTGCGGAGCTCCAACAACTGAAAATGGGACAATAGACGACCGTCCTTTAGCTGCCCTCCCACTGCCAAGTTCCAAAACCCGCTAGCCTGGTCTCTGTACTGGGCTGCCTCCTCTGTCTTCTTCCTGTCTTTACAAAGCAAAAGAAACTTTTTCTCCCCTGCATAGTAGTTCTGCGTTCTATTTCATTTCTAAGTGTACCATTGAAGCATACTTCAGTGGTCTCTACCTCAGTTGGCTCATCAAAGTTCTTTTCCAAACAAAGGCAAGTCTTACCTGGAAAGGAATTTTGCTATCAGTTCTAAAATTATGTAAAAGGCCACATATTTTCTTGAGTAACAACATCAAAATCATATTGCTTTGTGTGCTCCGATACTCAGACTTTAAAAGGAGCTCTCCATCGCTTCTCGGCCTTTTGGCTAAGATCAAGTGTAAAAGCAGCTCTCCAACGCCTTCTTCCCTTCTGAGCCATCGTCTACCTGAGCAATCTCCTGCGTCCCCATGGCTTCAATTACATCCACTTCATCTTCAACCCCACATCTCTTATCAGTTGCACATGCAAATCCATTTAGCAAACTCATAAATATATCAAACGGTCAGAAACTGAATCTATAATCCTCCTCCTAAACCAGCTCTGTCTCCAGTGTTCCTTGTCTGTATTTTGTGCCTCAGGGAACCGAGTGGCTCATGCCAGCAGCCCTCATTATCCTTGCTGTTCCCCTCTCCCCCACCCACAGCAAACCCACTTCTTAGGTAGATCACTTGTCTCCATTTCCACCGATACTACCTTAATCCACTTGCGAACTGACCTGAGCCAAGTTAGCCAATCGCACATTCGCATTGTTATTGCAGGTAACTCTAGTTTAAGATGTTTGGGGATTGTTGAGAGTTGTAAGTATTCTCCTCCACAAGTTCGCCACCGGATGGTAGGTTACAATTAAAGCAAGTCTCCGACCAGATTCGGCCCCACACGCGTATACAAACATTTGTGTAAGCACAGAAACCGCCATACAGTCTGTTCCACTTATTGTACTTCAGGCACCTAGAAAAGTACTACCCAGCAAGCACAGACGACGCTATTCTAGCAACAAGACCCAGCTCACCTCTTTTGGGATCAGAATCCTCTGTGAAGGGGACACAGAACCATGTCTGGTTAAAAGGCCTAGGTTGTCATTCCTGAAGGTCCCTGAGCCCTCCCACGTTCATGTCAAGGTATAAGTGACAGTATCATTGACCACAGTCAGTTCATGAATTTTGAATGCCTCTCCTTTCATCCATGAAACAGTCTTTTTTGCATCCCTATGCAGTGAACAAGCTCTCTGGCGAAGGTTTAATAGTGATATTTGTCGATATTCATTGTAGCTGCTTCTGGTGAACGGCTATCTAATGTGGGTAGATCCAACGTTAAGTAGCCACTTCTACTTACATTCATTTGCATGTAGGTACATACATATAATGGAATATATTATATAACATACACCCATATATACATATGTGTGTATCTATAGATCATACTTTTAAAATGTGCTGCAAACAGTGCATCCGTTTTTATCTTCATACTCCCAGCTCATCGTCCCATATCCTCACTTACTCTCCGCTAAACCCATTCTACACACTGGTGAAAAACATCAATGTGTAAAACCGTAGGTCCACTCGTTCCACCGCCTCAGTGAATTCTGGCTTCTCTCGTTTTACCCTGTTTGCATGCGTCTTAACCAGCCTGTCTGTCACTCTTCCCCTGATCTATTGTGCTGGGCTCCACTGTCCAACTTTCAGTTCCTTCATTGGCCAAGACATCAAGTGCCTGTAGAGTTTGCACTTCTGTCCCCCCTGCCGAGAATGTCACTCCTCACCTGTCTCTAAACCCTACCCATGACTGACGCCTGGCTCCTCCCACCTCAGGTGAGGTGAGCTTCTGGTAGACCCTCCTGCGTTGCGATGAATTCATTGTCGGATGTCTGTCACTGGGCTGTCATCCTTACCCAGATAACGTTCATGTGTTTTTTACTCAAGTAGCACTGCCTCTGTCTCATTGTTAGTGTTCAGTGAATATTTGCTGCCCGACCGAGTGAATGAACAGATATATTGTATCTGAGGAGCTTCCGCCACGTGCTTCTGTTGGGTTTCCTGTTGGAACAGAGATTTGTTTTTGTCGTTATGTTTGGTATAGATTTTTCAGTGAGATTCTTTGGAAAACAATATGACACAATAATTGCTCAAATAGTTATACAGAGAAGGTATAAATTTCATGTCCTTTGAAATCGAAATCCTAAATCCTCCTTATCGTCTGGCTTCAAATGATCTTTGAGAAGAAAAACAATGTTTAGGTCAAGAATGAATACAAATAATTGCACACCACATCTGGAATCCGTTTCTTCATCATTTTTCCTTGGGGTCTTTTGCAGAAAGCGTAGCAAAGGTCAATGGTGAGGTGTAGGAAGGCCTTAAAACAGAAGCCAAAGCAAGTTTCCCAGCAAACTAGTTTGGAAACTGCTGTCAATTAACTCCATATGGGGAAATCCTACCACGTGCAAAATCCATTTGCCTGTTCTGCTCAAGTAAACAAAGACAAACAGATATAAACACTATTTGTTTATATTGCAAGCATTGGGGGGGGGGGTTGTGGAATTCTATGGTGTCTTGAAGGCAATGCAAGAGATAATTTTTGCATTAAAAGATTGCCAATGCTTTCTCAGGCATTACAATGATCATACAATTTTCCCCCTGTTGTACTGCTTATTAAAAATACAGATGCATGGGCCTAACCTTCAGAAATTGTCATTCAGGAGGTATGGTCTAGGGCCCAGGAATCTGCACTTCCCAGGAATTTGTACTTGAAAAAAAAAATAGGTTAAGAACTTAAAAGATAGAGAAAGCCATCAGAAAGGATTTAGCAAACACCCATATTCACCCCATGTATACGTGTAGATCTGGTTCATTACGTCTCTCTGTGTGAAGAGTTCCATCCTGTTACAGCCCGCACCACCAGAGAGATTAGGAGCTCCAGAGGGTATCAGTGGCTATCCTACTGAGGAAATGGGTTCAAAATGGTACTGAATATTATTACAAATGAGGGGCTAGAAAACAGGTAGGGTTTGTTTTTGTTTTGTTTTTCCCCTTCCAAGGAGTGGTCTACGTTGTCTTTTCAGCAATATTTTCTACCACAGGTGTGCCTTCCTCATTTTTCTTTCTTTGAGAAATCTAAACTTTCACAAAAGAAAATAATGGCTAATAATTTAAAATTGCCATGTTCCTGTAACATAATGAATATGTGAATGTACCTACAATATTAGGACTTAAAACAGGAACACACCTCTTTCTAAAGAAAGATACACTTGTAAATCTATTTTCAACAAAAAAGAACAAATTTTGCACAGTTGATGATTATTGAAAAGAGCTGCTATTTGAAAAATAAGACCTGTATATTCTGGTAGAGGGTTATAAATTAGAAACGGAAGGGGTTTGTTGACTTGTTGGTAGGAATCCAGACTAAGGAGGAGAATGTGGATTCGGAAGAGGAATAGGCAGCATTGAAGCGCCAGGTAAATAGGCGTCCAGTGAGGGTACTAGTTCCTTTACATACTGGAAACCTTCTCTCTCTCCATAATTGACTTTCTAGAGCAGCGGCTCTCAACCTTCCTAATGCCGCGAGCCCTTAATACAGTTCCTCATGTTGTGGTGACCCCCAACCATAACATTATTTTCGTTACTACTCTATAACTGTAATTTTGCCACTGTCATGAATCGTAATGTAAATATCTTTTTTGTTTTCCAATGGTCTTAGGCGACCCCTGTGAAAGGGTCGTTCGACCCCCAAAGGTGTCGCGACCCACAGGTTGAGAACCGCTGTTGTAGAGGCAAGAGTTAAACCAGAAGGATTTGGGAATAATATTCTGATTTTATTAGGACAACTGTAGTCACAAGGGTAAAATGATGACATAGAATTCTGAGCGCCTGACAGCTCTTGCCAATGTGTCTTTCATCCGTGGGTCTGGATGGACATCAGGCTCAGGCAAGAGAGGCAGATTTCTCCAGATCACTCACCTTTAACCTGGCAGGAGTCCGACTCATTCACTGTCAGGGTTCTGGATTGCTTTAACCTTTGCTTGTTTTTGGTTTTGCGTCTTTGGTTCTTCTCTGTACTAAATCATTTTTTTAATTTGTTTAACTCCGTAGCTATGCTTGGAGTTTAGAGCCGTGGAATAGTGACAGTATATGTCAGTGTAAAGTGGGCCTGGCTTGGAGACCCATTTCTGCCACTTACCAGCTGGACAAGTGTAATCTCTAAGCCTTTGTTTCCTCACCTGTTAACCGGGAGTGATAATATTGGGTTGTCGGAAAAGTCACGATGCATTTTTGCAATGAAAAACAGAAAAAATATGCCATGACTTTTACAACAACCCAATAGTACTTACTTAATGGGAAACTCACAATATAGTGCCTGGCAAATAGTGAGTGCTCAATAAATGCTACCGTTATTTTCATTCTTAATTTTCACATTTTGGACTCTATTTTTCACATTTCAAAGCCTCTGTTATGTCTTAAGGAGTCCATAAGAACCTCTTTCACATAAAGTAAAGGGTCTGCATGGGAAATTTTCCGTCCACAACTGCTTCAGGGGTCCCTGGTCATCGCTTCCTTGGAGAACGTTGTAAAGCCTGTGAAGTGGCCTCTAGCTCTGCTGTCACGGGCTCTGAAGATCTATTTGATCAGACCGCCACCTAATGAAGGACTCCGCATGGCTCTTCTTACTGCTTACAATACTCAGGGAAAGCTAAGGGCACCCAGACCACCTTGGATGTGGTGTTTACGGAGATGTAATGCTTCAGACCTGTGTGTGTGGCGTCAGGGAGGGAGAGATCTGCCAACAGGAGGAGTGGTGACCACCGCGCACTGTGCGGGAAATGCAGACAGGAGCCTAAGGTTGCTACCCTACCGGAAATGTTCATTACTAGGAATAGAAAACATTCAGTACAGACCGAAGGAGCCCAGAGCTGGCGGCCAGGGTGAGTACTTAACTGTGTCCTGCGGTCAGGATCCTGGGAACGTTTCCAGGGCCCATCTGCCCTGCTCTGTGGCTGGAGGTTGTTTGCACACAGCCTTTCCCATGGATGGGGCTGCTCTGGTCATGATCAGGCTCTCACGGACTGATTCCCATGAGCTTTTGCTAAGACTGTCAGGTTGCTGATATACACATTTTCAGTCACTTGATTTTTTTTTTTCCCCTGCCTCTGGCAAGAGGTTTGGAGCTATTCAGTTAGTGAAAAAAAAAAAAAAGAAAGAAAAGAAAAAAAAAAAAGGCGGTGGGGAGGGTTTGGACAGTTTGGAAAGAAATGAGAAGGAAAATTGATTTGACCTAGTTAAATAGTTGAATAGGTTGTTGTATTTTAATGATTTCTGTTTATAGCATAGTAGCTAAATGCATATTTTTAAAAAAAAATATCAGGGCTGCCAGTTTCTTTAGGAAAACAGAAAACATTAATTATGAATGCCTATTAAAGTATTAGGAACAGCATTGCTTTTGAAACATGTCACATACAATTTCCTCTCTTCCTCCCTCCTTTCCTTCCTCATTTTTTCCTTCCTACCTTCCATTTTTCAGTGGCAAGAAATGTGCTACAAATGAGAGAATACACTACAAGCAAAAGGTCCTACCTCTAAGAAGCCGTCTGATGGGGAGACAGACATGTTAATACATAGAGCTACAATTACAGAGGTTTTCACATGATCAGGTTAGGAATGTGGTAATAAGTGGTTATTCTATCTTGTCACTGAGGGGAAGCTATAGAGTGGAGCTGTCACTTGAGTTTTGTTTTTGTTAAAGAAAAAGCAGCAACTGAATGGAACACTTGTCAGACTTTATTATAGTCAGGTACACGTGCGCGCGCACAGACACACACACACACACACACACACACGAGTCAGTAAAGGAATAGACTCCTCAAGAGCCCTCAGATAGAGTGTTTAGGCAGAATACATTGTTTACCGAAACCTAGAACTGAACGCTTAGCAAGGATGCTTACGCACCGGCCTCAGTCTTTGTTCAGATCTGTAGGACCCACTCTGGCTCAGCTTAGCACGTACACACTCAGTTTCTATTAGTTTGTTGTTTTGTTTGTTTTTCCAAATTGTTAGATAGCAAAGATTAAGTACAGACGGGGGTTATAATATGCAAAATAGTTAGTTACACAATATATGGTGGCTACTACTTGCAAATTCTTCCTCAGTAATAGAAAATGAAGAGATAGTCACCAGATGGACATGGGGAGAGAAGGCTCCCGGGAAGCAAGGATGTCATGGGCAAAAGCATGGAGGTCAAGGATGAGAATAGATGGGTACAGTAAGGACGTGGAAGTGGTGCGTACGGCAGGAGGGCAGGGCCGGTGCAGAGCGAGGCTGATGAGTGGGACAAGAGACTACTCTGCCACTTAGATGGTAGATGATATCCATGCTTGGACCTCCAGCCCTGACAGTTCTCTCTCTCTCAGCACCAGAGCCAAACATCCAACGGCTGCTTTGCAACCGTTGTGCAAATATCTCACAACACTCCAGCTACGTATATCCAAGACAGAACCCTTGATTTGCTCTTTTGCACTCATTTTTTCCTTCCAGTTTTACTTATCTTTGTCAATGGTAACCGCACCCACAGTCACTGAAGCCGAGAATGTTAAAGGCATCCCTCATTCTTCCTGTTCACACCCAAGCCCACATCCAAAACAAATCCTGTCTTTCTGCTTTTCTCTGCAGCCACCATGACTATTATTCTAACCCAAGCCTCTAAAATTTCTTATATTTTTTTACAAATCATTTTTTTACAAAAATACAAATCTAATCAGGCCACTTCCCTAACTTGGGCCCTTAACTGTCTTTTCATCACCGTCTGAATAACACCCAGTTCCAAACTGAGATCCTGAAGGGCCGTGGGGTTTGCCTCTTGCAAGCTTCTCTGACCTCAACTTGTCCACATTCTCTCTGCCACTCGCGAGCCACTCCCACCTTCTTTGTTTCATGTTCAGGGCGTTCCTTTTGCCATTCCCTCAGCTGCATATCAGGTTTCTATTTCAACAGCTAACCCCTTCCCATCTTGCAGATCTCAGTTCAAGTAGAATGGTCCTTTCATGGTCTGGTAACCTAAAGTTGTTACACAGCCACCCCCTTACCCACCCCCCACTGCCCAAGCACAGTTCTATCCCTCTGTTTATTTCTTCCAGACTAATAATAACAGGATTATCTTGCTGATTTTCTGTTTATTTGTGTTCTGCCTTCGCTGAATGTCGTTTTCTTGAAGGCACAGGCCTTGTCTCTCTTGTTGGTTATTGTTACCCTAGCCTCCAGATTAGCTCTTATCATTTAATAGATGTTTAATAAATATTTGTTGATTTAATGAGTAAATTCAGGATCTTGTCCATTATGCCCAATATTTAGATTATTGACCTGTGAGCCAGTTTTTCTGGGCTAGCTTGTGATCCAAAGAATGTTCCCTGTGGACTTGAGGACACTGTGTTATTGGCTGAAGTGCTCTAGAGACATCTGTTAGGGATACTTGGATGATAGCTGTACAACTTTTCTGTTTTCTTGTTAATTTTTTGTCTAGTTGTACTGTCCATTATTGAAAGTGAGATATAATTGAAGTCAGATATAGTTGAAGTCCCCACCTAATATTGTTGAGTTGTCTATATTTCCCTTCAATTCTGTCTGTTTTGCTTCAATTTGATTATTTTTCTACATTCATGCCCTGAGATTTACCTAAATGATGTTTTTAAATTTTTCATACTTACAATAAGATCCACTCTTGTGCTGTAAAGTTCTGTGGGTTTTGGCAAATGCACAGTGTCATGTATCTACCAATACAATGCATAGAAGAGTTTCACTGCCCTGAAAAATTCTTGTGTTTCACCTTCTCAATCTGGCCTCCTCCCATCTTAGCGACCACGGATATTTTACTGTCTCTATAATTTTGCCTTTTCTGGAATGTCATATAAGTGGAATCATACAGTACATAACCTTTACAGACTGTCTTCTTTCACACTGCAATATATCTAATATTAGAGATCCATCCATGTCTCTGCTTGGCTTGACACTCATTTCATTTTATTACTATTACAACTAGTATTCCGTTGTATGGAAATACCACAGTTTATTCATTCACCTACTAAAGGACATAGTGAATGTTTCCAGTTCGAAGCAATCATGAATCAATAAGCACTCGCTTCCTGGTTTTGTGTGAACATGAGCTTACAAATTATTTGGATAAATACCTAGGTGCATGATTGCTGGATCGTATGATAAGATCCTATTTGGCTTTGTAAAAACTACCTGCCAAGCTGTCTTCCAAAGTGTCTGCACTATACAACCAAACAATGACTGTATCATTGATCGTATTGCCACTCAGCGAGCATTCCTGTTGCTCTGCATCCTTGACAGCAGTTGGTGTTGTCAGAGTTTTGTGTTTTAGCCATTCTGGTGGGTGTGCAGTGTTATCTCATTGTTGTTCTTTTGTTGATTTTTTTTTTTTAAGATTTTATTGGGAATTGGAAGGAACGGCGTTGGGAAATCGGGGAAGGGGAATAGACAGGTTGCTGTCCTTTTGTTCTTCAGTCTAGTTATGGAGGACGTTGCTTCACTGGCCCATGTTGGTATTGTGATCATTGCACTCTTTCCCGGCTGAGGCAGTCGGTCTCCAGCCATTGGACAGATGCTCAGGGAAGCTCACAGCAGCCCACTGCAGCCCCACTGCAGCCTTCGCCATTGCCGGTGACTCACGGCAGCCCAGCTCCAAGTCGAGCTGTTGTTCAGCATCTTAGCTGTAGAGGGCACAGCGTCACTGGCCCTCATGTGGGATCCGAACTGCGGCCCTGCTGCTCAGAGCTCGCACTCTCAAGCCAACTCCTAACCAACAAGCTGCTCAGCCGGCCCCCTTTCATTGATTTTTAACTATATATATATATTTTTTTAGTTATTTTCTTAGTGGTTGCTCTAGGGCATACAACATATACATTTAACTTATCATAACCTACTTTATTTTTATACCGCTAAGTACAGTAAGATATAAAAACTATTTTTGTATGCTTCTATTACTTTCCTGGGTTTTGTTACTGTTGTTATTGTCTTACATTTTTTAAAGAAGCTGAAAGAAGAAAGGAGATTACAAATATATTCATAAAAGTTGTTTTACTTTTTTTAATATTAATCGTCTTATTGACCATTTTTGATCCTCGTCATTTCTTCTTGGGGGTTTTTGTTACCATCTGCTGTCGTTTATTTACTGTACTATACCTCATTCCCTCCACCCTTCTTTGTGTTGTTATTGTCAAATACATTACATTTCTATATGTTATAGGACCAACAATACAATTTTATAAATACTGTTTTCTGCAATTGCTTTGTAAACCAGTTAAGAGAAGAAGAAAAAAAGAAATATGTATTTATATTGTCTTTTATCATTACGTACACAATTACTGTTACCAGAGCTCTTTATTTCTTCATGTGGATTCAAATTACTATCTAGTGTCACATTTTTTCAGCCTAAAAAACTTCCTTTAACATTTCCTGAAGACAATGAATTCTCCCCATTTGTTGTTTATTTGGGAATGCCTATATTATACCTTTATTTTTTAAATATAGGTCTTGTGTATATAGGGTTTTTGTTTGAGTGTTTTCCTTTCATCATTTTGAGTATATCATCTTACTGCATTTGGCTTCAGTTATTTCTGATGACAAATCACTTGTTAATCATATTTTGATTCCCTTGTACATGATGCATTATTTTCTCTTGCTGCTTATAAGATTATCTTGGATTTCAACATTTTCACTACTATAATGTTTCTGGACTGACTCTCATTGTGTTTATCCTTCTCAGAGTTTGCTGAGCTTCCTAGATATGTAGTTAGTGGTTTCTATCAAATTTGGAAAGTTTTCACCAATTATTTATTGAATATTTTTTCTGTTCCTTTCTCTTTTTATTCTTGTACCTTGTACTACATGTCTGTTGATGTGATTAATGGAGCCCCACAGTTTTTGTGAGGCTGTTTATTTTTCTTTATTTTTTTCTCTATTCTTCAGATTACATAATCTCTACTGATCTTTCTTCAAGTTTGCTAATTCTTTATTCTGCCTGCTCAAATTTACTGTTTAGCTCCTCGAATAAATTTTTTATTTGGTTTTGGTATTTTTCAACTTTTCAATTTCCACTTTAAAAAAATTACTATGTCTTTATTAACATTCTCTATGAGGTGAGTCATTATCATTATACCTTTCTTTGATTATTTAAACATGACTTTCTTCAGTTCTTAGAACATATTTATAACAGCTACTTTGAGATCTTTGTCTGCTAAGTCTAAACTGACCCCCCTCAAAGACAGGTGCTATTGCCTGCTATTTTTCTTGTGTATGGGTCACACTTTCTTGTTTCTTTGCATGTCTCCTAATTTTTGGTTGTAAACATGACCTTTTAGGTAATATATTGTAGCCACTTTAGATATTGTTCCTCCTCCAATTTCTGAGGCATTTTTTAAAAATTTATTTGTTTATTTGTTTAGTGACTTAGCTGGACTGATTCTGTAAGTCTGCTTCCCCGACAGTGTAGAGCCTCTTATGTCCCCACTCAGATTTTTGTTCTTGTTTCTACCTTTTTACCCTGGCTTTCTAGAGGCTCCTGGGTCTGCATAAACTGGTTATTGGTCAAAGGTTATGCACTCTTAAGAACTCTCATCCAGTTAGATTCCCATCCTAT